CTAACTTGAGCCTTGCAGAAGAAGCCCCGCAGAGCCGGTGCGAGCAGGGCCCAGGGGCCGCAGCATCCTTACCAGAACTTTGTGGAAGTTTTCTTTGGTACATCTCTCCCCTCCGCCTAGGCAGGAGACCACATTCTCTGTTAACCCTTAGAAAGGGATGGTGTTTGATTCTTGGGGTGTCAGCCTTGTTCCGAAGGATGCTCTGGAGAGGTGGCAAGGGTAAAGGGACCTGGGCGCCTCACAGTCGTCCAGGCACACGAGAAGGGACAGTAGATCATGCCCGTGAACATATTTCACAGACAGCCCTGAAGTGGAAGGAAGGGGCTGACTGGGCCTGCAGGGAACCTTGCGGGAGGTAGGCTTTCCAGATAGGGTGATGGTCTCTGCCATCGTGGTAAAAGAGGAACTCGCCAGTTGCCCTCCTCCCTGCTCGGAGGAGGGTTAGGAAGGTGCTAAGAAGTTAGGCGTGTTGGAGTCCTATCTCTGTTGAACCTTCGTTTTCTGAGTTTGGGAAAGCCGCGTGGAATTGGATTATCTGTATCTGCGCTAGCAGCTGTACTGCTCTTGTCCACTGCAAGAACAGTGAGTTCTGTAGTCTGGGAAGAGATTCTTAAACTCCCTGAGGGATTCACATGAGGGTGGAAGAAAGGAGTGTAGGAGGGATCCGAAGGCCTGCCTCTGCCTCCACCAGCCCTGTTTTGGAATTGGCACCTTGTGCCCTACCGGGAGATGCCATCTCTGAGTTAAGCAGTCCCCTGCAGTTTGTGCTCGTTTCATGTGTACAGCTAACTTCCCGTCTGTGTGTAGAAACAGGAACTTAAAAAGCTGTGTGTCTGCCACCTTAAAGTTAGGGGGGGCATCTATTTCAGTACGGGGCCATAGGATGGGTGAAGCCAGGGGCCTGTGGGGTTTCAGAAGTGATGCACTTGCACCTGGAGAGTGTACCTTGGGTTTCTGTTTCCCTTAGGGTTGGTGAGTTTGGCTCAAGGTCAAGAGCATGCATTCATCCCCATAGGCCTAGGCCAGTAGGCCACCCAGTATCTCCAGCCCAAGGGCCATTGTGGTCTCTGCTAGGCAGATTATGGGCCATTTGCTGTAGTAGGCTACCAGTGTCTTGATTTTCAGAAGTTAATTCAATGAGCAGACCCAAGCCTCTCCACCTTCCCTTATCTTGAATTTGCAGTGTTGTTGGGCTTGGGGAAGATAAGCCACATGCTCACATTGTTGAGGGGCAGGTGTTCTAGGGAAGACAGAAGAGTCCTTAACAGCCAATTTGTAGAAAAGGTTAGTCTTGTCCTCTGTTAGTTTAGGACCAGAGCCTCACAGGTAGTTGTGAAGGATGGCTATTTGTGTCTTTCAAGGGAGAGGCGGATTGACCATCCCCATAGTCTTGCCTGTGTCATCAAAAACCTGCGAGTGGTACAGGTGTCCAGCTCTGTGTGGTTTTGGTTTGGTTGGTTTTTTGATTGGTTTTTTGAGGCAGGGTTTCTCTGTGTAGTAGCTTTGGCTGTCCTGGAACTCCATCTATAGAACAGGCTGGCTTTGAACCCTGAGATCCCCCTGCCTCTGCCTCCCAAATGTTTGGATTAAAGACGTGCACCACCACCGCCTGGCTCCTGAACCCTGAGACATGTTCATTCTTCGTGAACATAATCGAAGGCCAAGACTGAAGGAGGGTTGGTAGCCCTCAGGGACTGTTGTTGCCAGCATCTTGCTTTGTGGTCCTCCTCATCCCAGAGCATCAGTCTCCTAAATGTGAAAAGATTGACTCTCAGCCTTGCAAAGTGTACTTGGGTGATAATTCAGAAACTGCTTTGGCCTGGAACTCCCATTTTGTTGATTGAAGATACTGAGTGCATTTTCTGCCTTGGCCACTCATCTGAGCCCAGGTCATGTTTGTGACCAGTCATGGGTAGGTAGGTAGTCAGGTGAGATGGAGTTCACCCATCCTGGACTGTTGAGCTTTGTCTGCATACAGGCCTTTAGACACGGTACAGCCACTTTGTAGTCTGGGTTAGCCTTTGGAGATCAGGGAAACTGCTGGCATGTTGTTTTTTTCTTCCTTCCTGTCTTTCCCTCCCTCCCTCCCTTCCCTCCCTCCCTCTGATGCTTGGGTGGTACTGAACCCAGGGCTAAGCACATGCTCTTCCACTGAGCCCCCCCAAGCCCTCAAATCCATTTGCTCACTGGGATCCCCTGGATAGGGCCAACAGGCTTATGGTATAGGTTGTTGCAGTTCTGTGGCTGAGGTTTTTTGAAGTGGGCTTTGATTGAAAGGGCATTGTGAGCCGGGCGTTGGTGGCACACGCCTTTAATCCCAGCACTCGGGAGGCAGAGGCAGGCAGATCTCTGTGAGTTCGAGACTAGCCTGGTCTACAAGAGCTAGTTCCAGGACAGCCTCCAAAGCCACAGAGAAACCCTGTCTCAGAAAAAAAAAAAAAAAGAAAAGAAAGAAAGGGCATTGCGAATAGCACTAATTAAAATTTTTATTTCAAACAATATATTTTTTTTTTAATTCCATAAGAAGGAAGGGAGTGTCAGGCTGTAGAGAAATGAGCGTTGGGTCACTGGTAAACAGTTGTGTAGGCATTGGCAGTAGATGCAATCCTTTGTCTTCTGTGAGAACACAGGGTCCATGATGTGAAACTGGAACCAGGCTAGCAGGTCGTGTTTTTCGTGGGCAGCCAGCCACGGTTGCCCACAGACAGCTTTTTCAAAAGGGCGGGGCTTTCATATACCTGCTGGGTGGCCTGATACTGGCCACCCGTCCTTAGTCTGTGGAGCTCAGGGCTCTGGGTGGCCATAGCACCCATGAGGCTTTGCTGTGTCTGTCTCTCAGTACGTGAGTGCTGAGCTTGGGAGCCCTTGAACTTCTCCATGCAGAAGTGCAGTGCTGTGTGGTCTGGAGTCATGCTGGTTTTGAGGCCTCTCCCCTCTATTTCTGGGGCCCCTTCAGTCCTGACCTGAAGAGTGGTTGAGCACACACAAGTAAGTGACAGGCTTGCAGAGTGCCCAGTGCTGTGGGCTGAAGCTTGTAGGCTATTCCAGCCACACCTGCTTTTCAACAAAGGAGAGAGAAAGGGAAAGCAGGCTCCCATCGGGTAACTTGAGTCTGGCTTTGGAAGGCTGCCCCCACACTCCTGAATAATTGAGAAGGGAGGCTACTTCATCCCTGTGAGGCCTAGGCCATCGCCATCGGAGCCAGTCTTGAAGATCGGTTCCTGCCATCTGCCTCCTGGACCTGGTTGGAAGTAGGTGTTACATAATACTGGGGACACCTGGGAAATCAGATTCCCCAAAAAATAAAATGTGGAGTGTGTTGTCCAGGACAGCTGACCTGGGGCCGCTATGGGCTTGGAGGTATTGAAACTGCAGCTGCTGCTCAGTTCTGGTTTGCTCCAGGCTTTCACAAATAGCTCCAAAAAAGGTCTCTTTCTTAGTTGGGGGTGGGGGTGGAGGGGTAGGTACATA